AGGTTTTTACGTTTTTCCATAAAATAGTTTCATTCAACAAGTTCACGGATCTTTTTGAAGAGAAAATTCTAACCTAGTACAGTTTTCAGGGAAATATTAAAGACTTTTGCAAATAGTCAATTTATTAAAATTAGGACTTGGAACTGGCCCAAAAAAACAGCTAAGATCAGTATATCTTTAGCTAATTAATGTCCATAAAAATGAGGTTTTGTATTAAAATGTTTTTAATATTATTCCTTTTTTTTTTTTTTGCTTTAAGCTAGCAACAAAAAACAGAGCGTACTACTGTAGTGCTGGTCTGAGAAGAGCTGCTGGACGGACTGGATTGACGACTGGCAGCCAGAGTTGCCTGTAGGAGACGAGACAAAGAGCAGAAAAACAGAAGAAGAAAAGGAAATGTTTGAGGTTTCGCTTGAATCCAAACAAACGTGAATGCAGAGGCTGTCGTGTGGTTGACGGCGGACGTGGCTCAGTGTTTCTGGTTGTATGTCTGCCAATATAACACAGCATCTGTCCAGGACACTGCCTGCATTTTAAACTTCTGTCACTGGAATTTATTACTGCACCCTGCCTTATTTTGCAATCCATTTTTTATTCATGCATTATTTGATCAATTTAAAACAAATCTTTGCAATAAACAGAGTGGGATTTTGTATTGAGCTTCATCATATTTACCTTGACTTGTTGCACAGCAGCCAGATTCTGCAACTGGGCACTGTTGATTTGTTGCTGCAGCATCAATTGCTGAAAGTACTGAGCTGCATTAGGCTGTCTCTGCAATGCCTGCAGGGCCTAGAGGTAATGGCAGAAATATTAAAATTGAGAATTATGACAAGCAGTTTCAGGGAGAGAACAGAGAACAGTAGATATAAAGGAGAAAAGAGTAGAAGCAACTAAAGTGATTTAGGTGGAGGTCTGTTAGAAGAAAACTAATCTAAAAAGAGGCTGTCCAAGAAAGAGGTTAGATGAGAGAAGAAAACTACATAGTGAGATCAACAAGAACAGGAGGGAGAGATGCTGCTGCAGCTTCCTGCCAGCTGCCTGATGTATGAGCTGAGCCTCATACAGTAATAAGTTGAGAGGATGAATGCGAGCGCGGCGGCTTGGATTAGTATGTGCAGGGTGACAAAGACAGATGGCGGTGGAGGGTGACAAAGGCCTGAGAAAATAACACCCAGCCTCCTCCAAGTCTCACTCTCTTTCCTTACCTACTCGATTCTCTCACTAATTATCAGCGTAAGACATAAATTAGAAAGATTACCACCCAGAGACAAGATTTGGGAAAACAAATGCGTACAATTACCTTTTTTTCTTTTTCAAAGAATATTCATGGCCCTCCTTTCATAGTTAAATAACCAGAGTTCCTCCACAGGTTCAATTTCACATTTCATACTTTTCCAGACTCACTTTTCTGTATATTTATGGCTAATTTTGTAAGCATAAATATAAAAGTTTTTTAAAAGACTTTGAAATACAGGCAGCAAAAACACATTATGAAATCAGGTCAGAAAGGAAGTAAGGAACGGAAGATAAAAGGAAGAAAAGAAAGAAGGAAAAAACATGAAAGTAAAACAAGAAATATGTCAGGGAGAACAGAAAGGAGAAAGAAAGACAATGTAAAAAAGAAAGGAAGGAATGGCAGAAGGAAAAAAGAAGGAACATTAGAAAAAAACAACAACAAAGGGAAAATTTTAAAGAAATAAAAATGGTAGAAAATAAGCAAGACAATAAAAAAATGACCAAAAACAGAATAAAGTGTGGAATTACATAAAAAAATCATACTTGTTTTTCTTTTTTCCCCCGTACATATTCGGATTTGGGAAAAACCCCAATTATGACAATTACCCCAATTTATGGCAATCTGTTAATCTGCATATTAACAGTGAATTAAAAAAGTATTTTTTTGCCACCAGAAATCAAAAAGAACAACAACAACAAAAACACCAGTCACTTTAAGTTATTTTAGACTTACTACATATTATATCTAACAGATTTCTGGAGTCAAGATAATGTAATTTACTATGTGTAATCCTCAGGCATGCAGAGTTGCTTTTGTCCAACATGAGCCTGGCCACCCTACCTTGGTCACTTAGGTGAAACTTTGCACAATAAAAAACGTGGGACATGAAACACTGCAAGACAGGAAAAATTTCTGCTCTTTGCCATGGCAACACAAGTGGTTGTAACCTGTGTGTAAAACGGATCCAACTGCTTCACTCACAATTCTGACAATGAGAAGGCAAAAATCTTTCACCATTAAATATAAAACCTAAAGCCATAATACAGGCAGGTGATAAACTCTATAAACAGACAGAACCTTTAGAACAGTCAGGATTTGAATTCAGTTCTTTAGTTTGGCTTCGTGAGTAAACTTGGGCTTGGCACGTCAGATTGTTTTCTAGATGTCTGTGTCAAATTTACCGTTTTGAAGTCGACTTTGTGGCTTTAAATTGCTACAACAAAAACAGCTATTGAGGTAAGCCGATGGCGTATTACTCACACAAACTGAGACCTACCTGAACCGCCTGCCTTTCATACGCAGACATGGAATTCATTGGTGAGGGGCGGGAGCTCGCCCCAGACGCTGCGCTCCCATTGGTCGAGGCTCCCTGCTGGCTCTGCTCTCCATCCGCCTCCATGGCTGCAGATGAGCACAGGAGACTATTGAGACAACCTTAAGTAACACACAGAAGAAGAAAAACAAAACAAAACAAAACTGAATTTCCTCCTTAAAAAACAAAAAAAAAAAAAAAAAAAAAAACTTGTCTCACGTCAGGTCAAATATCACCCCTCTGTGTTGTCACACTGTTGGCTATTAACTATTACTGAATGTGCTCTGTTAACAAACACATACCATTTTGCAGAAATACTTGATGGATACGGCTTTTAATGTGCTATTAATCTTTAGGGGATTTTAGAAAATCAAACAATGGGAAAATAACATAAAAACTGCAATGATGTTGTCAGTTGTGATTGGTTAATATTTTCCTCACTGGTTTTCTGATCATTTGCCATCATGATGCTTCAACTCTCTCAGTGACCTTTAACCTCTGGGTACTGTCATCTGTGTCCAGTGGGGGGCAACCACTGGGTTGAGACTCCATCCACCAGATTGAACATATTATTGGAATACAAAACATGAATTTCTGAGGGGAAACACATATCTTATTTCAACCAGTCCTTTCATGACATTGTAAGGATGATATTTATAGGTCCAATTTCTGAGAAATGCATTCATCAGTGATAAAAATCAGCCAATATTCCATTGATCAGCTCTCATCAGCCAAAAGGTCAAATTCTGAAAATCTGTTTTTCTTTTTTTTTTTTTTCTGCGCATTAAATGCATCAAAGCTGAAAAACTAACACAACTTACTGATTTGTAGAACAAAAACAAAGCGAGTATAATGAGTTTTGTAATCTCTTAATTTTTCATTGGATTACCTCCCCCAAGGAGACTTCACTGCATTTTTTTTTTCTTATGGTCAATGTTTAACAACATTTAAATGGTAAAGAATACAAAGTTCACACTAATGATTTTGTATGTACTGTAGTTCTTGGGAAGAAAAGCTGAATCTTAAAAAAAAACTTTTAGTTCAGACTTAAAAGAGGAGCAGTTACTATCAGCCAGTGAAAATCTGATCGGTGCATCTCTGATTTATTCTCAGCATCTCAATAGCAGATGTAATAAATGATGTACAGTTGTAATGCTGTTGCTCTGTTGAATTTTGCAGTTTCAAAACATAAGCTAAACTGATGCACTTACCTACAAACCCAAAGCTTTCAAATCTTGACTAAATCCGATTTTTAAAAAATGCATTTTATCTAAAAATATATATTTTTTTTCTTTTAACTATGCATCACCTTGCAGGTGAGCTGGATGTAGGACCCATTTAAATCAGGTGTCCCCAACCCATTTTCTTATTGCATGATCGTAATCACTCGTCCACATCCTCTAAATATTCCTTCCGCACACCATTCAGTCTGCAGCCTCCACAACCCCATAAAACCTTCTTTAGCTGCAGCAATCAGCTGAGAAGCAAACACAGAGCTAACGCTTGCTAGCTGCCCTCCATGCTTCAGACCAGTTGATACCAGATCCGCTGGAGGCTACTCCAGCTAGTATCCCGCTAGCCGCCGCTGCTGTCTGGCTCGTTAACGGGGCAGCTCGGTCCGTCCTTACCGTCACCGCTCCGGGTTCCTCGCTCCGGCTCCCCGCAGCGGACTCAGCGGCCTCCCGGGCGGTTGGTATGCGCGGTGCCCGGTGGTGCTGCCTCTTTTTTCCCCTTGCTCTTCTTTTGCAGGACAACAGCAGTAGCAGGAGCAGCAGCACAGATTTCACTGCTCTGCATAAATTTGCAGCTGATTGTGCGGTGTTGTTTAGATGGAAACGCCTCCTTTTTTTTCAGATGCTCTGCCTTTTCCGGCGCGACGGGATGACGGAGATTAACGAGGGAATACCTTAGACACAGGTCGACTTTGGCATCAACTTTGGTCTTTTTAAAAATTGCATGTAAATAAATAAATGAGGAAAAAACAATAGGACATTTTCATTGTATTACTTACTATAACATTTGCTTGTTACTTTGCAAAGACAACAAACATAAATTAAAGTGCAAGTTAGAAATTTTAGTTTGGTGTCGCAAATATGCAAAATTGCGTAATTTTTCAACGTCATTATTGCAATAATTTTTTCCTGTATTTCTTAACCTACTTGTGGTTAACAGCATAGGCTAATTTAATTGTTATCAGAATTTGTATTACTTTATTTTGTATATAGAGAGAAACTGAAGAAGAATGTAGCTATAACTTTTTTTCTAAGTTACACAACTGCACTTTTTGCTTTTACTTTAGCAATATTATTAAATATCACTACTCTTCTTACTTGAGTAAAAATTCAGAAAACTCCACCAACTGTGATTTAGTGCACTGAATGAAGAACAAGTTTTACCAAAGACTGTATGAGACACAGATGCTATAAATAATTTCACAATATTCCTCAATACAAGATGTCAACTTTATTTAACAACAACATTTGTGGTATGTACAGGGCAAATGAAACAGTCAAGAGTGCATCAATGCTGTTGCACACAGAAAAAATAGAAAGCTACACACCATTTACTCATTCAGTAGCCACTAAAACGCAAAAGTAACACACATGGAGCTGTTACACATCAAATATTTCTCCAATCACAGCACTAAAGCCCAAAATGAATGCTGTTCTCAAACTCCTTTTATGTGGGGACAAAAATTCAGCATCATCAAGAATGAAAGAGCGATTCAAAAACATAAGCAAAACACAATGAAAATCAGCTTAAACAAAGGTGAGGTAAGAAATCACAAAATGTAGACAAAAAATACTCAATCACTTACAGCGCAACATCACAGTGAAGAACAAACGCATAAATGCAGCAGCCACACTTTATTCTTGAGTTAATGTGTTTGCCGCTTCGCTGCTCTTTTTGCCAACATGTTAAAGAGTCGTGGTGCAAAAACACAGCAGCCCAAACTAAGAATGTCGTCTGATGAGGCCTGGCTGCAACCAAGTAATGAAACAAACACAAAAGGAAAATAAGACGATGACCAGCAGCAGTCATCAATCAGACCTTTAAAAATAGACGTATAATCTGAACATAGAAATGTATTTAACCAAAGTGAAGAGCAGTGTATGAAATCTAGACAATGTGCACTCTATAGCAAAATAGAACAATGCAACAGATCTATCAATGTCCTTTAAAATATACAGATTTACAAAATAATGAACGCTTATATTTGTCTCTGTACAGTGTGAAAGGGTTTGAGTTTGTACATCCAGTTGCTTGCTATAATTATCAGCAGTCTGCACTTTGGTCCTTTCTTTTATTTCTTTATTAAATCCTTTCAAATACTTTATTGCAACACCTCAGTCACATACCATGGCAGTGGTTTGCAAATTTCATTAGCAGTAGCATATCTTCACCATAAATTATACGCAAGATAAAGACAATAGTGAGTAATGGATAAAATAGATAAAACTTTAAGACAACTGTCCCAGTCGACAGAGAACATACGAGAACTACAGTCATGCTAAGTTGTTTTCTCAACTCTGCATTTTTCATGTAATCCTTACCAGATTCATGAATTTGCATAATAGAATCGGATTGTTGGCAACAATATGTATATATTTTGGTTAGTTTATATTACAGATTGTTTTACAAACTTTAGGAAATGGTTGTAAATTATTTTCAACAACTTGGACCTTAAAAAATAAATCATTGTTATAAGTGCAACTGTAGCAAACAGTATGGCTTAGTATTGGACTATGATGAATCTTTCAAAATCAGAAGCAGGGTTGGGGTTGATTAACCAAACTAAATAATTTCCCCCACTTTTTCCTTTACTTGAAAGTCTGATACTTAAATTTCAACCTTAAGACATGAGAAGCACCAATCTGGGAGGCACAAGTGGGAAAACAGAGGCTGCTGGTTCCACAGGTACCATTGTAGTGACTAAATAAAACAGCAGGTTCACTGAATGATAGGCAGAGGTAGTACTGCAGCATCACCTGGTAGAGGCTACTGCGCTACTACAGGAAGTTAGAAAAGCAAGAGCAGTCATTGCTTAAAAAGTTATGAGTTTAATATGAGCATTTAGTTTGGTGTGTTGTCACTAGGCAGCTAAAACTTGTAGTGATTGTATTTGTAGCCAATTTGTTATTGAAGAAGATTATGTTTTAGTATTGTAATTCAATCAATAGCCATCATAATAAAAATGGCTCCATCCATTAATGAGTCATATGCTGCCAAGTTTGAAACATTAACACAAACTTTGCTTTTGAAAAATTGGTAAAAAAAAAAAGACAATAATATAAATGAAATATTTTAATAACATGTCCATATTCCCTTGTTCTAAACATATTCCTCCATTTGCCTGCTTAGAATTGTCTGAGTTTGTGACATCACAAAAGGCAATAGCAACATGTGGAACAACAAGCATTTTGAATTTAGAAGTGAAATCCTTGTTAGGGTAAAAAAGGAGCAGTGTGCGAATATCCAAAGACAGAAGCAGCACCTCAACAGGAAACACTGAATATAACATTAATCTCGACTAGACACGTGTGCACAACAATCCTCCCTCAGTGCAAACACAACATCACCATCCACAATTACAGGAAAACACACCAATATCATGGACATATGTCCAATATTTCCAGTGAAAAAAATAATCCACTTAACAAGCCTTCTGACATCCATTCAAAATTAAATATCAGTTACAAAGTTATGTCCTAAAGTTATACAAGTGGTTTAAATCTTAAATCTCTATAGATACTTTATCTCTTTATAGATACTTTACCTCTTCAAGTGTAAATTCTACCAGAAATATACAGAAATAAATAAATAAATGGTCTGCAAGGGTAAGAATAGAGTTCAAGTAGCAACAGCAATCCACACAATAACAGAGTAAAGAAAATATACTTTGTGTTACTCACATACACACATCACATGTCATACGGTATTAGATATACATTTCATAAATCTGTTGAGACCAAACAACGCAGACAAAGTGACACAGCGCAGACAGGATCAGGACCCCACACATAAAGCTTAAAATACATTTTGACTTACAATAAATCCTTCTACTCTTCATAGTAGTTTAAATATATTTTAAATATAATGGTCTCTGAAAACTGCTGTTAATTTCTTAATGGAGATTTGGATTTCATTGGTGAGCAGCAGTTGGCCCGAGAAAATGACTTAAGTATTTGCTGGCTATCCAGAAACTTTGTAACACGTCTAAAACTCTGTTAAGTGCGTTTGTACTTTCAAAATAAAACTAACGGACACAAACATAATTATGCCAAAGTTTAAGATCACTATATGTTGTTTTTTGTTTTTTTGTTTTTTTTCTGTGTGTTGAGATATAAAACCTCGCTTTTTGGTTGTAATAGCAGGGTATGTCACATTTATATTAACGTTTACTCGATAATAAATTAGATTAGGTTTCATACAACAGTGCAGATTTTTCAGTTGAGATAATTAAATTATGTGAAACGTATAGAAAACAAGCATTGTTTGCCTGAAATATGCAGGTTATGATGGGAAGACATTAGCTAAAATTCTTGTGAAACAATAAAATTATTACAGAGCTGAGAAAAAAAATGATTTCAGAGCTTTACATTCTCAGCTTTTAGACTTTTGAAGATTTTCTCTTTTAGGATCCTATTAGAAGGTCATGTTAGAAATCTGATATATTTTTAAAATGTGTTAACAGATGCAGTCTAGAAAAATAAAAATGCTAATCATAATTCCTACAACCGACCCCACATCCTTTGGACTGTAATAGACAACAGTCTGCCAATTAGCTTTTCAACCAAAATATAAACTAATTGCTTGAAAACTCTCCCATTAGTCATTTCCTTATTGTTATATTCAAATTTATATATATATATATATATATATATATACTATTTTAATTATAAAAAGTGCTCTAATGATTAAAAATGCGGTATGTATAATTTTAAATTGACATTCTTTTGTTTTGGTTCTAAACAAAGTAATCCTCACAGATCTGCATTAGTCTCTTGCTTTGCAAAACAATAAGGTAAGATCAGACATAATTATCTATTAAACCACTAACATTAGTTGCATGTTTCACTTAAAGCTATACTGCCAGGATTAATAAAGTATTAGCACTTCCCCATTAGTTGCCTCTATCTGCTAAGAGTTATTTTTCAATAATGATTGCACAGTTCATAGTCTTTATCTGTTCTACTAACAGCTTGCTTAGATATATGGTTGTTATTATTAATGCCAATGCAGATCATTAGCGCTGTGTTAGCTTGATGGAAAGAACGGTGATGCTCATTACTTCTACTACTTATAGTATGAATAGTGACTCTAAAACTTGCCTGACAACACCTTAAAAAGTCTCTAATTTACAGTAAAATACAGGCAGAATTTTAACGCATAAATACCGACTCTACCATATTTATATGCTAAAATTCTGGCTACCACAGCAGAAGATATTTTACCATAAATTAGAGACTTTTTTTACAGTGTACTAAAGTGTACAAACAAACACTGATCTAAAATTTCCCCTGAAGTAATTCAGTTACTCCTCAACTGAAAGCAAAAAGTCCAAGACTTACTTTTCACCTTTTGAAGCCAGAAAAACAATTATGTTTCTTTATATGATCTAAAATAATTAATAGGAAAATAGATTCTTACACAATCCTATAAATAATCTTTCTTTCAGCAAATAAATATATCTCGTCTGTTACCCTATTGTTACATTACAAGTATGTGTCATACAATTTCTCTGTTGGAATAATTAGATTCTAGAAGAACAGCTGACAAACGACTAATTCTCATGGTTGCACATACAGCATCCACCACTTTTACTGGCACCTCTTGTAAAAATGTATGAAATGCCTAAAAATAACATTTTCCTTGTGGCATGATAATCTCACACTGAGAAACAATAAAAATCTAGCCTTTAATCAAAGCTCCTTAAATAAATGGAGGAAAATATCCATTTATTTAATGGATATATATTCCTCACAACTGAGGACTCTGGGTCAAATCTTCCTCTGTCATGTCATCTAAATTAAAGCAGATGGGTGTTGACTGACATGGGTGCCCATAACTGTGAAGGGTGTTGTATGTATTTATTTTTTAGGCCACATATATGAATCTTAATGAAGTTGTATTTGTGTTTGAACACATGTATATGTCTATGTGAAAGTTCTTTGAGGAAAGTGTTATGTCTATTTTTTTGTCTTGGCTACGGTTACATTTTGGCAGCATTCAGTACTTAAATAGGCCGACAACATGTCAACACACATAATTAATAAAAAGAAGTGAATCATATGAGTCAGTAATTAAATCCCTATTAAATAATGAATGACTGTAGATGTTAACATTTAACAACAATGATGCATTTTAGTACCCTTAGCTGCTGTGAACTCTGCAGACTACATTATGAGGTTAGATGTGTTCATCAGGTGGTTATTCACTTTGGTAATGCAAACAATCCCAGTGAAAGGTAAAGCACACAATTTAGATATATTAGACCTGCAGTCTAATGGGGGAACAAGTAACTGGCCAAAGAACCTGTTGGGAGTTAAACCAAGGGGAAATACACATTAAGTCATCTGACACTTAAAAAAACACACAAATAATTTTGTTTAAATGTGGATCTTTGTTAATCATCTCAATTAATTCATATGACAAGGAACTGACCTGTTTTTTATGTCTAAATCTGCACAACTCACCTTAAGTCACCCTGCTTATAAACTGCATTAATGAACAAATTAGCTGCACATTTTTGACCCATGTTTAAGTTTCAAGTAACCAGATCTGAGTGTCATTGTGACTTGAGAGACACTGACTTTGACTCACCCTTTAAATGGATGCAGCTGATTTCAGGAATGTACCATAAAGTTGGAGAGAAAGATTGAAACTGATTCCTCTGTTTCAGCATGTTTGTATTCTGTGATTCTTCCGTTACTTGTAATTTCTCTCACCAATCTAAAACCTGTCTACACCTGCTCCCCTTGTGCGCCGGATTTATCTTTAAGGGGTGTGGTTTCGGTTGCCGGAGCGGCGGCTGCAGGAGCTGCAGCCGGCGCCTCCACCAGCGGGACCTTCTCTTTCTCAGGAGAAGAGGCTTGAAGCGTTATGGCGGTGCTGGAAGTGGCACCAGGATCCTCAGCGGAAGAGGCGGCAGGAGGCGGAGCGCCGCCAAATTCACGGGCGATCTCGTCAAATGTCTTTCCCTTCGTCTCTGGGACTTTGATAAATGTGAAGATGAAAAAGATGATGAGGAAGGCAGTGAAGATGAGGAACACCCAGGGTCCACACAACTCCTGTGGAGAGACAGGAGGGAAATCAGAATAACTGGACTACAAAAGCACAAAATCTTGCTAAGTCATTTTCACTAGCTTTGACTGAAAATGTCTTTGTACACATGAAATTATTATTGCTGAAATTAACTTTTTAGCAATATATGGCAGCTTGTTTTCAGTAAATAATTCCTAAATATTAATAAAAAATTACTACTTCCACTGACAGGTTATTTGTCTTGTTATAAGTGGAAAAAAATCTGCCAGTGAAACTAATCCTTTTTAAAATCGATATTAAGGAATTATTTACTGCAAACACAAACAAAGCTCCTGTATCTTGTTCAAACATCCAACCTAACTTGTAAGTTAATTTAGTCTTAAATTCAAGTGAGCTAAGAAATTCGCATTAGAAACGAGACAAAAAAATACTAAGATTTTGTGGTTTTGAATTGTGATTATCCTCCGCCCCCCAAAAAACAAACAAAAACAAAACAAAACAAAACAAAACAAAACAAAACAAAACTCATATAATGTTTTAAAGATTTTAGTGTTCAAAATCAAGTCAGAAACAGAAAAATGGAAACACTAGAAGTCTAAACTTAGCGTAGCCAATCAGGGCAGCATTCTCTTTTCTTACCACTAGTTTAGGAAAGCTCATTCCAACAAGGAAATTGGCTGTCCAGTTGCAGCATCCTGCTACAGCCATGGCCGCAGGACGGGGCCCCTGGGAGAAAAGCTCAGCCACAATGAACCATGGAATGGGACCGGGGCCCAGCTCAAACATAGCCACAAAAAGCATGACAGCCAGGATCGCCACGTAGCTCATAGCTGTGATGTGCTTCTGCTCAGAAAGTGGGAAGAAAAAGGAAATGATCAGACAAAGACACACATGAGAGATTATTCACTGGCGGAAAAGTTGATTAGAAGCTAATGATAATGAGAGCATCTGCTGCAGAATGCACAACTCTAAATGTCTCTCATGACTCTTTGTGTTATTTCTCATTTCAGGAACCATGTTTAGTGTTCTGTCGATCTAAACCAAACACCATGACAAAAAGATATTAAACTATGGCAGAAATTTATTATTTTATGAGCTGAAACTGCATCTAAAATATGTGAAAGTAAAAATGTAAAAAAAAGTCCATTCTAACTATCTACACTGTAAAAACAAAATCACAAAAGCATTTTTTAGAGTCTAGTGCAAATATATTATTACATTTGAAATAAGACAAAACTAATTCACAAGTAACTTTTCAGCAAGACACACTAACATGTGTCAGTAATTCTTGAATATCAATAAAGAGAACAAGTTCCACTGGCATATTGTTTCACATATAAGATGGGAAAAATGTCTTGTTATAAATTACATAATCTGCCAGTGGAACCAGTGCTTTTTAATCAACAGTAAGGAATTACTTACTTAAAACAAGTTTCTATATCTTGGTGAAGTTGCGTCTAAGTTTTGTCTTATTTTAAGTGTTCTAAGATATTTACACTGGAAACTATACCAAAAATACTTGGTAAAATTTTGTATTTTTGCTGTCTATGTATGTAAATATTTGCTCATATCTGTGCATCCACCCACCAACAGGAGGGAGACTGTCATGACCAGGGCACTGACGGCCATTCCTCCCAGTCCCAGGAGATGGAGAGTCCTTCGTCCAGCCTTTTCCACCAGAAAGAGCTGAAGGACAGAGAAGGAGACTGTGATCCTCTGTAGAATGGACCTAAATGCAGGCAGGAAATGGAGCGTTTGCTGAGTCACTTACAGAAACAACGGTGAAGATAGTGTTGACAATTCCGGCTCCTATTGTGGCGTAGATGGGTTGCTTCACTCCAGCTGAGCTAAAGATCCCTGTGGAGTAGTAAAACACCTGAGAGATACGTATAGGAAAGGAAAAAAAGAAACTTGTGGTTAAAATGCAACTTATAAATTATAGAAACAGGCTTTTAATGTTGTTTTTTATTCATAAACCGTAATTTCTGACTGAAAACTAAAATAAAACCCATATCTTATTTAAAAACCGTCTTTATAAAAACGTTGAACTCACATTACAGGAACTTTTTCAGATGTTTTCCTACTCTGATTTATTCTTGATTTTCCCATGTTGTCCTATGACGTAATGTCACGTCTGTACTTGCTGTATTTACGGTTACAAAAACGGCAACTGTAATATTTTTTGGTTATAATGTCGATAGTTAAACATGGAGTATAATAGAGCAGAGCTGTGTGTTTACAAAGTATGAGCATGTGAGAATGTTTCTCAGCACTCACAGCATTGATTCCCGATAGCTGCTGGGAGAGCTGCAGCATGACGGCGATGAGGAGGGGCTGCCTGTAGGCCGCTGAGCGAAACAGCTCAGCGATGGTCACCTTCTTCTCCATCGCCATCTTGGCACTCTCCTCCTTCATCTCCTGGAGGTCTTTGTTCACATCCTCCGTGCCACGTAGACGAACCAGAGCTGTCAACAGAATTATATATCAGGATGAGTCACTTCTGATGGAGATGGACTGATTTTGAAAGAGAGAGTTATATAAAACAAGTTTTAACAGAAATTGAAGGAGAAGTTAACTTCTGAGTAGCAAAGTGTGTTTTAAAATGATGGGGGGAAAAAACAGCTTCCTGACTCGTCTAACCTCCTGTATTTTTAGCAGCTTTTCCAAAGCCTCCTTCCAACCTCTGATTGTTTCTGTTTTGAACAGATTCACAAAGCTCCACTACTTACTGCATGTTTGGCTCAGTTTTGTATGCTATCTATTTCATTTCTGCTCCAGATTCTTTAAACTTGCTGCTCCAAATACAAGTAGACATAAACATCAAGTCCAGCCTGTGCAAGCAATCTGCAATAATAGTGGCAGATCCAGCTTTTTTCAAAGATTTACTACTTTTGACTTGGTTCCCTCAGAAGAGCTCTTACAGCTCTGAAATGACTCTTCATTCATCAGGTCCCAGTTATTCTCTCTTCAGCCACAAGCACACCAGTGGCAGAAAATCACTGCATCTGCAGCTGTGGTTAAACCTTCATTCAGCAGCTGGATTTAAAGAAAGAAAGGCAATTTGATGATTCACAGTTCTTATTTCAAACAGTAGATGGCACTGCAGATAAAATCTACCTATATTTAACAGCAGGTTGCAGAAAAAATTTAAATGTGAACAGTGGATCCCCAACAATGCGAAGTGATAAAAGTTAAATACACAATTGTAGAATATTTTCCAAGTTGTCCAAGAAGTTGCAATTTCAGATCTGCTTTCAGATTCTCACAGCTTTGCGAGAACAGATTCTCACAAAGCTGTGAGTTTGCCCCTCTGCCTTTCTGAATGACTTTCCTCTTGTTCAACAGCGACAGGTCCTCCATTAATACTGCATGTAGGAGCAGTAAAAGCAGTAATCTATAAGCATCTACCTTTGCATGCTTGTTCCTCTTGCTTAAGGTTGATCAGAAGGAAGCGGGGACTCTCAGGACAAAAGGGAAGCAAGATGCACTGCAGCACAGCAGGGGCCACGGTGAGGGCCAGCAGCAGGGGCCACAGCTTGTCAGAACCCAACAGAACCTCCAGACCAAAGATCTAAAAGGAAAAGACACACCAGAAGAACTAATTTGATTCTATCAGGTTAAGCTGAATGCAACCCATTTCACATGATTCATGGCCGTGTATTTTCTTGAAAGATTATTTATTTATGTCACTAAGTTGTTGAATAACCTACCAAAAGCCATTATTGATTTGTTCTTTAAGTAAATTTAAAATACATTTGATTTTGCATCTGCTCTGGTTCATTTCATCATTGCTTTTGATATTTGTTGCTGCCTTGCATAATTGTGTCTTTACGGTATTTATATATGGGCTTTAATCTAATTATTTTAAAAATAAATAGAGGAAAGTCATTAATTATAAGAACTTGAGTATTTGGAAGTGAGTAAAGTTTCAAACCTGAGCAATCAGGATGCCCACTACCACACCGAGCTGATGCAGAGTACCAAATGCTCCACGAAGAGGTGTTGGTGACACCTCCCCCACGTACATGGGAGTCAGCCCGGTGAAGAGGCCGCAGAACAGGCCAATGACCAGACGACCCGCAATCACCATCTCATAGGAGGAGCAGATGGTGGAGAACCCCATGAGGAGGCCTCCGATCACAGCCAGGATGTTCACCAGGAACATGGAGCGCCGTCTGCGGAGAGGAAGAGTAAAGAAACACTAAATGGACAAAAACATGAACTAGTGGTACAGAAAATGATTTCCGGCTGAGGATTCTCGAATCTATAAATGCTGACATGAAATTTCATCTCCTACCTGCCAAATCTATTGGCCATGACGCCCACACTGAAGGAGCCCACCATGCCGCCCACACTGAAGATGGAAACAGCGACGCTCCAGACGATGGTACAAACCCCTGAACTGATGGGCTCGTTGTAACGCTGCATCCAGGTTTGGTTGAAGAATGACCGTAGTTTCTAAATAACAAGTAGATTTGTGGGTTAAGACAGATAAAAGATGAGTACTTCTCTCTCTTCTTCTCGATTTAGTGGTTAAATGTGTTTACATCATGAATATTTCATAATTACAACATTTTCAGCTGGAAGTTTCAAGAGATAAAACTTTAGGTCTTAAATATAAAAACTTTACTGAATCTATTTTGGCTTGCACGTCACGACTAAGCCATAAAGTGTGATCTCCGTGACAGGATATCTGTTATAATAACTATGAAAAAGCTAACAAAAAAAAAACCTGACACCATAATTAAAACTCTTAGGGTAAAAGTTCAAAGGATAAAACTCCCAGTTTAAGTGCACTTCATACTGATTTATTTCCTGCAAAATAAAAGCACAAGACCTGAGAATTATGACTCTTTCTCCATCTATTACCAGAACTGTTAATCATTGGTGTTTGCTTCCTCTACAAAAACACCAAGTAGATCAGTCAATTAATACGTTTTGATAAACAGCCTTTAGGTTGTGACCCTTTTTTGTTTTATGTTCTGGTAAACGTGATCTCAGCATGAGACGTACACACTTACGTCTTTTATTACTGCAGAGCAGAACAGGCAGTAGCTACACTGTTAGTTAGCATCTAACTGGCCTGAAGATTTAAATGTTTAGATCCATTTCACTTTTGAGGTGGGTGACCATCTCTTGTTTACAGCATTTTGTGAAGCAGTATAAAGATAATTACAGTAAAATCAAGGGCAAAGTGCACCTATCTTTCTATAAAGATTAAAAAAATGATAATTAAACTGACAATATTTACTTAATAGTATTTGTTTTCTTTTGGCAGTGAGAAAATGTATTGCCTGATCTGCTTTCTTTTTCATCTGAATATGCAAAACAGCAAGATTTCTGTTAGTATCTTGGTAGTAAACTTCACCAACCTCTTCCGGAGCATTGATGACTCCTGTGTTGTAACCAAACTGCAGAGAGCCGATGACAGCCGTGCCCAGCGAGAACAACAGATAACCCGTTACTTGCTTTCCCTGAGGGTCAGAGTAATGGAAAGAACCGGAGTAAGAAGGATAATTGAAGTTGATGGGTTGATGCAAAGATAAAAGATAAATATGAAATCTGAGATCTTAATGGCATTGTAAAATACGGAGCTAGGTTGGATGCAATAAACTGGGATGCTAGAGGCAAAAAGGTCAGTGATTCAGCAACATAGCAGTGAACTCACTCTAGAGCTCGGCTTCCCCACATCTACTTGCTAATACATACAAGATCTTCCACAAAATACAAATAAAATGCAAAATAAGTCAAATTACAAAAACAAATGTTTATTTTTTCTTCTACAGCCTTGCAAAAAAGATGAAGATGATCAAGCTAATTCAGTGTCTCTGTGATCCACAGCATTCATGACTCAGTTTGTCTCTTTCCTGAACATAATTGGATAAATTCAGATGAAATTTGTTTCCACGGTCATTTGCCTGTAATTGTGTCACAGCCTTTAATATTATTGATTTATCTGCATAATTGAAGAAAACCACATCAACCGTAATGACAACAAGATGTTTGAATGCTTATTGGGCTTCGGCAGAGCTCTAAAGAATTTATTCCATCCTATTTTGCTTCTTTTTTTTATTTTTACCTCTGCATGTTGGAACATTTAATATACGAAGAAAATACAATACTACATTAACACAAATAATAATACAAATAATACTTCCATATCAATAAATAAGCAGGCACCAGTGTATTGAAGATAAATCATGAACATTTCCAAAAGCTGTAAAGTCAAAAACAAGTAATAAAAAGACGGAATGTATTCCAGTGCAACTGAGGTTTGATTTTCAAGACACATTTTAAGTATTTAAATTTTTAGTTAAAACTGAAAAGCTTGTAAGTTTTGTGACCTTTTGGATGTAGCTAATCTAAAATGTATTATTTCCACATCTATAATTTTGAACAATCAATTCATGATTAGACCTTAATAAACAATGCAAAAAAATAAAAATAAAAAAAGAATATTAAAATCAATTTTCAGTTAAATCCAAGGGGAACATTTTGTTTAAAATCAAATTGTTAAATGTTGTTATTTTAATTAACTTTAAATGGACTCACATTACATCATGAGGTTGAAGAAGTCCAGGGATAAACACCCTTCTTGGGGTCAAGTACACATTTCTGACAAAAGCAAAAGCCATTCTGTTATCCAGCCCAGACCATGAAAGGTTTATTAAACGACTCTTAACATACACCATTAATAAATAATGCACCTCATGTGATTTAGTGGCTGGGCCAGACTGAACGATGTTTCAGCAAAAAGTCTGTAGCTGAGAGACGGAGAATGCTGACAGGGAGGAACTGGCTGCTGCTATATGAGACGACAGAGATGTGGGTCGACCTCAGGTGATTCTCTGCCTCTGCTTCAGCAATATCAGAATAAGGTCAAACAATATTAGCAGAGTGAATACACTGCAGTTGTTTTAGGTAAAGGGTGTTGGCCAAACTGAATCAGTTTGGGGAGGAAAGAACAGAGGCGTTGATGAAAACCTCAATATATAGTCAGTCGGGTTGGATTTCTTTTAGGTCCGATCTAAACTAATCAGGTAGCAGCTAAACAAAAAGCACTAGTCGATTGGTTGGGATTTAATGATGTGGTGTTAGCTAGTAGAACCGTTAGCAATTCATAATTTGAAGCAATAAATGCGTGTCAGCAGGATATTGAACTTGGGGCTACTTGAAGGGCCCTGACCTTTCATGACTTCAGGGGGATGTTTTTGTACAAGTTCAATTGGAACACAAAATCTCTCTTCCCCCTTTGAGTTTGCTTGGAGGGAGAAATGACAGTAAGTTTCAGACAGAAGCTGCAGCAGAAGAAAACGACTGCTGAAGACCAGGAGGATTGTCTGAGAGCTGTGAACCCCGGGCTTGAAGGCATGTGGATATTAAAAATGCACTTTGCTATTGGTGAGAGTCTGACCTCTGACCTTAATAGTGAGGCTGAGATTGCAGTTTGATATGAGTGAACAATACCCTGAGATGAAAGTATAATATTCAAAACTTCTACAAAACATACGCAGTGGAAATTCTGTGCAAATCCATAGCCTGAAAGAATTCCTTTATTTAACTTAGACTGAAAAACAAAATTGTTTTCCCTAAATTACTTTTATTAATGGGTGAAACTTTCATTTATTTTTGTAGATTTAAATTCATTTTTGTTTTAGTTTTGCTGAAAACATTGCTTTCATTTTCATATTTATCATACACATCACAATATCTACCATCATTTTAAAACAACCTGCTGACATGATATTCAAAACATTTTAAAAAAACAATTTAATTCAATTAAATTACTAACATAAAATGTACGATCATCATTATTGGTCATTTAGATAATGTTTTCCTCCAGAAACATTTGAACAGTCTGCTACAGAAGGAAGCAGATTTCTCAACATTGTTTGTCTAATTTTTAGAAAAGAGACATTAGCTGACTTTATGAGCAGTACAATGTCATTTTATTTATTCATACAGTTGCAATAAGCCATTGATTAATTATTTACGGTGACTGAATGTTTGTGTGAATAGAAACATGGATGTCTAGTGGGAGACTTCCATACAGTAATTATACATGTCAAATGCTACACTTAGCCAGGGTCTCTATCACCCCCATGATTAAAAACATTTTGTAGATTTAGCTGCCTTTATTTAAAGTTATCTGACACGAACAAATCTCAACTATCCAACTTTAGAAAAGCCAGTGTCTTAGCATGGCTCTCAAGAGGTCGTCTGGCAGTCAAAGTAGCAGAATTTTTTGTTTCAATACACTCCATTTCGCTCAGGTATAATTACATATCCATGAATTCAAAAGAATAGAAATTTACTGTCTTTGTTGGTTTGTCTCACAACAAGTGAGGTACAAACTTCTGGCCAATAACAGCAATTTCTTCATTTTTTTATGTTAATAGGTTTATCCGTCTGCGTTGTTAAATTTGTTCTGTACACAAATCGATTTTTCTTACTTAGCATGTGGATTTAACATGATTGAAGCAACTATGATTTGTAACCTGGAATAAGCCCATAACACAAGACTTTCGGACGTCTTGGGTTACAGAAAACCTACTGCAAGAAAGTCTAAAAATTGAAGGTGAATTTTTCTCTTTTGTAGAAAAAAAAAAGATTGATGGTATTTTGATTACAATCCCTCAACATTGGCTGCTTCAAGGCACATTGGTCATGTGATAAAGGGGCCAGACTCCAGGATCATTAATAAATCTGCTGCCCTCATAAATATCTTTCATGTTCTCTCGTGGAAATCACGTTTTCCAGCATTTATCCTTTGCAGGGAAAATATTTTCCAGATTCTTTTTTGATCCCAAGTTAAATAAAATATATTATTTTTTTGTCTGTGTTTTTACTTTTAACATTTTCAACTCTTTCCTCTTCTTGTTTGTTTGTTTGGTAGAAAGTTTCCTGGGGAATTAGGAGACATTTCAAAGTAATCAATACTCCTTTCCTCACAAAGAAAGCTTTGGGTGTGTCCATTGCAGATAGATGGCTCATCGGCATCTAAATAAGACGACTTTTATACAGATCTTCTCTTGTTTGATTGAATTGTATATTTCAGTCAGTAAGCATTTGCAAATTTGCAGTGGAAAAATTATAATATCTGGATGTCTATCATTGTTTAAATTAATTTGACCTTACAGGTCATTTTAACCCTTTTTCACTACAAATAAGTAAGCCTATTAAGACAAATAGATCCTATGCAACCGATGCTTGTGTGTTGTAGAAGGTTGACCATAATATAAAAAATGACACATTTGTTGTTTCCAATTGTTTCTAATTAGTGGTATCTACAACACAAAGTGCAGCATATGCAGAATTACCTAAAAATATACAGTTAGCCACAATTCTGAAAATAATTACTTTGTTGGTATTCATTCTCTCTATTTCTTCTTGATTGACTGCATTTATCTCAGTTTTTTGTCATGTAACAGTGACTCAGTAAGATTTACAAGTCACATGACTGCACTCAAATATCTCTAACAAAAATCAATAGGAAATCTGAAGGTCAAATGTCCAAATTACTGCTCCTTTGCTATTTTTTTTATTCTTCATCTAAAATGTTTCACACAAATTTCAGGGTTTGAATAGTTTCTTTTCTGAATAGTTGAATAGTTTCTTTTCTTTTTTTCTTTTCTTTTTTTTCTGTAAAACTCAGTTGAAATTCAACCATTTTGTGCTCACTGGAAATAAGAATATATTCCCACTTGGTTCAAATTGCCAACAGGAAAAATAAATAAAAACTTGAGAATCTTTAATGCTTCTTTTATAATCAGTAACTTTCAGCAGCAGCTCCCTGTTGCAGCAGGGAGATTAGCTGAACAGACATTGCGTTACTACGGAAACCATGTTATCACACATCTTGTCTTGCAGTCCTAACATACAGATCAACGAGTCATCTAAATTTATTCAGATTTAACTACAACAGATTAAAATGACACTAGCTGCCCTCAAACCCGTGAATCAAAAACTATTTAAACCAGCTAACTGCCCTTTGATAAATTAAATCTGTTTGTTTGTCATTAGTTTCCCAACCTTCCCCCTAACACATTCTTGCCCGAAGCTGGAAACTGCCGCTTTATTGACGCAGAATAATTGACGTCTAGCTGCAACTGGGCAATATGCACACAGGTCTCATAAAATAAAACCATGTAAGACTCCTGAAACGACAGCGCAGCTCTACCTGACGGCTTCGGTGCGAGAACACGTACACACACAAAATGAACAAGGTGAGATGCATTAAATCCAGAAATCAGGGACCTCACTCACATTAAGCAAGTCATAAGGAAGTACAAAAAGAAGGCTGATGCTGATGATCTTACTGCCACACCAATAAAACACAAGTACAACTAAAAATTTACAGCTGCTTGTTTTACTTAATGAAAATGCTGCAGGTGGCGCCTCCCTTTAAGTCTGGTTTATCCAACAAAGAAAAAAGGCACAAAACTACAAAATGTGTTCTAAATAAGAACACACAGACTATTAATCAGCCAGGTATGCATTTACATCAATAACATTTTCTTTGTTACTTTCGGTATTAAAACAGCGTTTCCCCATATTCAGCTTCTAAACTTCTGTGTGCCTTCAAACATTAACAAGCTTAAATGTTTGTTCCAGCTTATTTACATTGTCCATTAGTCATCTGTCCCTGAAGGCAGCCCCACACCCCTCCCAACCCTGTTCTCTGACACACACCTTCTGGTAACATTTGGTTTGTAATGCCAGATATTGACCAGCATGTCAATGCATTGACACATTTTCTCAAGGACAGGCAAGTTGCATGTTATACTGTTAAAATCACAAAAGCAAACCACTTTACATGAGATAATGCATCAACAAAAAATCACCAACTGGACAACAATGCTAGTATATCTGAGGGTTATGTTTTCTGTGATTAGAAATAATGGAACCAGCATCAGACAAGTAAATGAAAGGATGTGGAATATAGAAATTTACAATCAGAAGCAGACCAAGAACAGCATGGATGCTACGAAGATGCAAGATGAAAAAATAGTTCTATTATTTCAACTCCTATCCATCCATCCATTTTCTTTACACCCTTGTCCCTTAGTGGGGTCGGTTAGCTGGTGCCTATCTCCAGCTAACGTTTTGGGTGAGAGGCGGGGTACACCCTGGACAGGTCGCCAGTCTGTTGCAGGGCAACACAGACACACACAGGACAAACAACCATGCACACACACACTCACACCTAGGGGCAATTTGGAGAGGCCAATTAATCAGACAGTCACATTTTTGGACTGTGGGAGGAAACCGGAGTACCCGGAGAAAACCCACAAATGCACAGGGAGAACATGCAAACTCCACGCAGAAAGACCAAGGCCGGGAATCGAACCCAGAACCTTCTTGCTTCTACCAACTGCGCCACTGTGCAGCCCCTATTTCAACACCTAATAAATCAATTTTATTTAGATGTAGATGATTGTGATTTAGAAGTATTGTTCCTTTGTGTATCAAAATAAATGCTTTCAATGTGAAGTGCACTTTCTTTCATAGAAAACCATACAGAGAATCTTTTTAGCAGTAAAACAGTGTGAATAAAACCTTTTTAGAGCAGCTAAATAAACTAAGCTTTTTCATATTTTCTAACATTACAATTGGATGATCAAAAATAGTGCAAAAGAGTAAAGCAAAATATTTTTTTTTTTTTTTTGCAAAATAAACTTTACTTTGATACCCCTAAAATAAAATTCAGTGCAACTATATGGTGGCATGCTGGTGACATAGCAAGTATTGAGATGTCAGATGAATCCAAAGCTGAACATTTTGACCTACATGTTAATTGCTATTTGTGCCAGAAAGGTAAAACTGCACGTAGTCCAAAACACATCTTTCCCCACTTTGAAACATGGCTGCATCATGCTGTGGGCCTCAGCAGGGCCAGGGAAGCTCATAAGAGTTACAGAGAAGATGGATGGATTGAAATACAGAAACATATTGCAGTCCTGGAAGATAACCTGCTAGAGGTCAGATTCTATGTCTGAGGAACGGTCAAGTCAAAGTCCAGACCTAAATCAAACTGATACTGTGACTTGATCTGTTGCAAAATTTGAGAAAATTGTGTTTAGGGATGAATTAAATTCAATGTGATTTAGCTGGTAAAGAAGAATGGCGCAAAATGGACATACAGCTGTAAAGTAGCAAAAGGTAGTTCTACAAAATATTGCACTGCATGCCACACTTCACTTTTATTATTATGTATGTGTTACAGTATGCTATTTATATCAGCCGCAGTTTGCATGTAGTTTGTTTGTTTCTGTGATTTATTTCAAGTAATTTTGGAGCCTTATTCATAGAGAACACTATCGTCTGTTTTCTAGCTTGTATTGCATATTTGAGCTACTGAATCTGGCTTTCTCTATTCCCCATGTGTCCTCTGCATAAATCCCAAAGGATAGATCTGATTAAGTCATGCTGATGCTGAATTCACATGTGCATGCAGAAACACACGCACAAAGTCAAAAGTGAGGGGAAAAAAGATCCTGTAGTTATCTGTGATTAACAAAAAGTTAAATATTTCAAAGATAAAGTGGGTGTGGTATGTTAGCAGTGATCTCAAAACTCAATCTGTTTTATTCGTTGTATGACAACTTATAGAAGCAAGAATATTTCACAAAAATCATCGGTAAAATTAATCATCAAAATCAGGCTTTCACATTAATGGATATCCACTCATAAACTATTATTTCATGGAAACATGCCTGATATTCCACTCACACAACATCCACAGCATGTGCAGTAATGAGTGACTCATGGAAGCATTATGGCTTACATTACCACCCACACAGCTCTGCTTAGAGACCGAACTTATTTAGAAAGACATGCATTACTAAAATATGACATCAACGAGCTATTTGAGTTTAACTCAGTTTTGTTTTATATACATTTATATTACATTATAATAATCAAAGGCCTGATACCCTTCATTTAGATAAGGATCACATAACAAGTTAAAAAAAAATCACTTGCCTGGCCTTCCATCTTCCCAAAGATGCTATAGATGCTCTCACGGTTGTCAAGGGTGATTTCTAAGATTTGGAATCTGCAGGATGCAGAGAGGAGGAGCAGGAAGAGAGGGAGGGAGAGTCAGCTGGTGCTTCTGCCTTACTGCCAGCTGCAAAACATGGAAAACCTCGTTAGTCTCTGTCCGTGGTACCAATCGTGGCACCAAAAACATCTCCGCCTTCTTCTCCCTTAAAAAAACCCCCCCAAAAAAACCGTTATAAATCCTTGTAAAGTCTTATAAGAAAGGTAGGCTTTAGGTAAAGAAACAGATGGTTGATGTTAACGTCTACTTCTGCAGTCAAATAGAGGCTAAGCAACAGAGTTTTCCCCAGCTGAGGCTTTCCAAGATCCCAAATATTATCCCAGACTGCTCAGTCAGAGGAGACTCACCTGTCGTGACTGCTGGAAAGCCTCTACGGGCTGCAGCAAGTCTCGTTTTGGTAGCACTGCCTCACACAATTCGTCCCTTGCAGGGGGCTGCGAGGAACAAGGCACGTAACCACACGCTATGATTTCTCCCGTTTCAGCTCGGCCTATGAGAGGCGGCAACGCCAGCGTGTCGTGATGTAGTCCCGCCCCTCTTTTTGCGTGAAAAAATCATGACTCCAACGCAGCATCACCGCATCCTGTGAGGCCTCCGCGTCCAATCATGGCTGAAGCCCTTACTCGGTTAGTTGGTCACAACAGGCGCATGCGCATCCCGTGGGGGGATGGGGTGTGTCACAGTGGGTCGTGAGGATGTATTTGTATACCCCCACTCTCTCTGTTTCTCTCTCTCACACACACACACACACACACATTCTCTCTTTCCGGTGTCCTCCATGATGCCTCCAGAAGTTGACCTTGGCGCTGCTGCTGATGCAACTCGGCCCGTTTATGGGACATCTTGCCATGTGATGCAGCTCAGAGGATGCTTCAGCGATAAAATGATTCCTTAAAGCATTTTGGTTTATAGCTATGATCACTGTTTTTTAAGTTGATATAGAAATTTAGTTACTACATTTAGTTACTAAAATCAAGCCAAGTTAGGCTTGTGAAGCATATCCTGATTACGCATTTTTAGTCAGTATTTAAAAACAAAATCACCTATACTGTCCCTTTAGAAAAAGTAAGTCATCATCTTAGCATTTCTAACAAAATATGCAATAATCAGTTGAAAATGTGGGCTACCTTCCTAAACTACTTATTTCTTGCCTCATATTTTTATTCTTTGACTGCTTGTTTCAAAGGAAAATTAAACAAAAATATATTTTATTAATTAAAACAAACAAAAAACATTTGTCCCCCTAAATCAATGTTTTGCACAAAATATTGATTTGCAGCTTCCAGTCTTTTGGAATAAGTCTATTAACGTTTCACACTTGAAACCAGTTTTAATCCATTAGTAATATTGCATAAGCTCAGTCAGTTGGGTTGAATCCACAGATTTTCAGTTGGACAAAATATTTTGCTTTTAAGTTGGCTTTTACAAGACATGTCAATGATTTTAACTAGAACCGTTCCATTATGGGTCTGACTGCATATTTAGGGTTGTTGTCCTGCTATAAGCTAAATTTCCTTCCTACTTTCCAGTCTGTTGCATAAACTACCATGTTTTCTTGTAGGACTGGGCTGCTTTTAACTCAGTTTTTCTTCAGATCAACTGTGCCCACGTTTCATGTTACTGTTAAAGCACTCCCCCAATTTCCTTTCTTTAAAGCATGCATCACTTTTTCCATTTCAGATTCATGTGCTCCTTTGTATTGTACCTCATAAAACCCCAATAAAATAACAATAAATTTAAGGTTGTGGTTGTAATGTGAAAAAAAAAAAATATATATATATATAAATCCTGTAGAACCAGGATTTCATTTCCAGCTTGAGTTAAACTTTTTCTCATTTTGGAAACATAAAACATGTCACTTAGTCCTCATCGCTAAAGCTTTCACAGCCTTTTCATGCCACAAACTGAACTTTTTTGAGTTCACTCCAGTACCTTTTAACTGATTTTTTTAATTAACTTACTTTTCTGAGGCCTCACATATGTTTACTACAAGTGATTAGTTTTTCTTCTACACTTATTTTGCTGCAAATAAAAGAATAAAAACTCAAATAACACGGAATAAAAAATGGGTAAAATCAATCGTCCTAACAGTTTTCCAATCCGAATATGAAGCAGATCTAAGCACCTGCTGGTAAAAAATAAATACACAAAGAAAGAAAACACATTTTCACAGTAACAGTATTTTATTTAAGCTTCATATTAAGCTTATGGGATGAGAAAAGAAACAATGAACAATTTGCCTTCAAATTCTTCCAGCAAAAGTCCCTGATTGCCGTTGCTCATCCCATTTCTGAACCTGTAAAACAAGTAAGGGAAATCTGGTGAGGCAATCAAAATACAAACAGATGAAAATATCACATTGATAGAAGAAAAAAAATCCCAAAATATTTACTTTTGAAATCTTAAATTTGGATTCATTAATTTTATTTAAAGTACATCTATATCTATCATATAACAGATCGTCTTGACTTGGCAGGCTCAAATGGTAAAAGAGAACAAAGTGCTTGGGATACGTAACTCTGCAAAAGATGTCTCTTGTAACAAAAAGCATTCAGGCAGTTAATTTTATGAAGATGAAACAAAATCCTGTGATTCCTGTTGGATTAGTAACAAAACTTTAAGTTGGTTGCTGCAAATGTTTAACACTAATACTTATTTGTATTTTCTTCTGTTAATCCATATCATAGCACACATACCCAGGCAATGGGGCAGAGACTCTTGTATACCCTGCGGTACCACTCACAAGGAGTCGTCTTCTGATTTTTAGCAGACAGAACTTTCTTACATCTGTGGTAATCTGATGAGGAAATGTGAAAGCAGTAAAAAAAACCTTTCAGTTAAGAAGCAGAAGGTAAACAGTTGTGGTAATTTGTATTATTGAGGACCTCTGAAACTTTAATCTTTCCCCAGTTTTAATTGTGCATATTTACCCTACGCTAAAACCACAATATGTAAATGTATGACTCAATAAATTTAGCACAATCTGAAACATTTTTGATCTGAAAAAAATGCTCTAGCATGGATGCACAAATGATGTCCTATATATATTTACAGTTTTACACAAAAGATGTCACAAAACCCAAAAAAGCTTGAAGAAATCTAGCTTCAAAAAAATGTAAGAAATTGTAATATGCCATTTGTTCTGCATAGAGAAGACTATTTCTCATCAGTTCTGTTGTGGGTAGTTATTAAATAGAAATGCCAAAGTTTTATTATTGATATTATTGGTAAAATTTTCTGTGATTGAAAGTCCAGAATGTAAACTACAGGTTCATATATGTGTTGAAAGTGACAGTAAAACAGCACCAGGTCTCATCAGGGAACATTTAGCTGCTTCCAAAGGTTTCATTGAAGAAGCTTTACTATCGGTCTAAAATGGAGCCAGCATTTTATTCATGCTCCAACAGCTCCATCTCTCCTCTCCTTTGTAGAGCATCTCTGCCCCAGAAATATAACAAATTATGTAACCTACATTTCTGTGAGCTGTATCTTGACTTGAGGCAGGATTTCCCTCCAATATTATAAGAAGTGATATTTTAATATCAAAGAGTTACATTTTTATCTTTTTTTTTTTTTTTTTAATCAAATACTTTGTGTGTGCTAAAATGACTAAATTATAATACAAATAGTAGTTGCTTATAATACAGCTGGGATATCTAGTTTTATATACTGTTACCCAACAGTGTAAATTCCAAGTGTAAACAGGAAGAGACATCAACACACTGAACTAAAGCTTGTTTTTTTTTCATTCGTAAAAAAATTTAATCCTATCACAAAATAAAAACATAAAGTACCTGAGAAAACATGCTAGTGATCCTAAATGGATGTAATAAAACAAAGCACACTGTCTTGCTTACCTAAGTAGTTCTGGTAGCAGTTCCGGGTCTGGTTGGTGTTGGGGAACCGGGCATCAAAAGGAGCTGTCCTGTAGTTCTTAATCTTCTCTTCAAAATTGCCAGACATTTTCAGCCTCTGGATGAAAATGCCACAAGTTAAACAGCATGGTAATAAGAAGAATAATGTATTTGGATTACATGACAGGCAAAATGCAATCAATGCAAATTAGGAAGATAATTTCTGGCATATGGGGCAAGCTCTTAATGTCAAATAATATTAAACCTATGCTTATTTTTCAGATTGAAATCAAATCAAACCAATTTAGACCTAAAACGAATGCATGAATGAAATTAACGTAAGTGAATTTGTGCTGTCTTCGCAACACGTGATCACGGCGAACAACTACACAACACGCAAGGCTTGCTTTTCTTAACTGAAGATCTTTCAGTTAAGATTTTTGTGGATAAATGGATTTAGCTAAATTAGAAGCAAATACAAATCTCAATGCTACACTCAAAACGTTTTTGTAACTGTAATATAACAGAAACAAAAATACGTTACTAGCTAATACACTCATCTTAATGATACACTCAGACTGTCTTTTTTAACTGAAATACAACAGAAAAACTACATTACTAGCAAGTATACATATGGCATCTCTACACTCAAAAATTATGTACACTGTTCTATATTTTATCAACCAAAGAAAAAACATCACAAGCCCACGTATATTTCAAACACATAAATACTTACGAAGACGAAAGTTTTCTAACGTAAGAAGCGTATAAAGTGCACTCAGGGTGTTCACGAGCCGTTTACTTTCTACTAACCGCCTAAATTCTTGTTGACAAGGTTACCGGAGAAATTCAATTTGCTGCTAAGAGCTCTCACTCGGTCATGTTTCTGCCAAAATGACAAAGACAGTTTGTAATACAGATGTTCCACTCTGTTCAAATTTCAAACCCCACATTTCTTGAACCATTCTTATCATGAATTTAGTCTTACAATTTTCTACCTATGAATTTATTTACTGGATTATTAAAACGCTTTTCATACAAGAAACTGAGATTTATATTGCCCTCTGCAAAGAATACAGTTATATGTACGCACCGTTCTCTAGAGAGAAAATGACACATTTTGTAATTTATATAAAGCTGTGTTATTATTTAAGTGACATTTAAAAAATAATAACAATAATAAAACAGTGGAACAAAATTGCTAAAGACACTCCGCCGGATTCTAAATCTGTCCATTACTTTTGGTCTACTTGATAAATTTAGTAAATTATGGTTAAACCTGGTCACCAGCAGTCACTAATCTCTTCAAACAAGTAAATTCTACTATTTCACGTAGCATTTACACAAAGAACACATTCTTATATAATTAAATCCATTCGCTGGTGGTATTTCTAAATAACAAAGTTAATTCTAAATTGTTTTTCTTTTAAAAAAAAATAACATTTACCTTCTCAAATAATCTCAGCTCTAATCCCCGCTTTATCTTTCTGCTCAGCAACCGAAATAACTCATAAAGCATGCTGGGAAACGGAGTCTGTAAGAAGTACTTCTCAGTGCAGCACTGCCATCTACTGGACAAACAGAGAATGTACACATAGACTACGGAAATAAAAGTTTGAGAGTATTGAAGATAGCCAGTTTAAGTAAAAAAAAAATTTAATATTGATATACCAATTTATTAACAGTTATTTTAATCAGACAGAGACTAATAGTTTCACAAACATGCCACAATTTCAGTCAACAAATCAAAAAGAATAAATTTTCTTTATTTAGATTACAATGTCGTTAATGTCAATTTAAATTTAAAAGAGCCTTCGACATTTTATGGCAGTTATAATTGGAAAATTTTATTTGTAATATTTTTTTCAGCCAAAAGATACAATTCAGAGATACAATATGAAGAATAAGAATTTTAAACTATGAAAATCATAAAGGAAAAAAAAAACTTTGAGGACAAATTACAAATAAAATCCACCATTAAAAAAAAAGAAGTAGAAAGTATAAGTAGGGTTTAAGCAAGTGCACAAAATGAGTGAGTAACAAAAAACATCTTAGAAAAAAAGTCACTGTTCTCTAATTAGTCCTATAAACATGATCCTAATATTTGCTTATAGCTTTTAGGGATTTTCTACATCTTTATACAGCGACAGAAAAAGTGGGAAAACATGCCTGATCCCTAATATATATATTTTTTCTATGTTAAACCATATTAATATACAAGAGAAAAGATTTAGGAGGTAAATTTAAAATAAATAAATTAATAATAATAATAATAATAATAATAATAATAATAATAATAAGTCATTGACTTTGGTCACTGTAGTGAAGCTTGTCTGCGCTCACAGATTCTCCTCAGCTGACCAGAACACCCGGAGCTGAACCAGCTCTTCCTGTAGTTGTCTCCTGGTGTGAGTCGACCGCAGAGCACCTTCCTCTCTCCTGTGACGTCTGGCTCATGTTCCCAAAACCTGCAGAGACAAAATAAATTAAAAAAAATCATTATATAACATTATCCGCCTCTACTTCAACATATCTCACTCATATTGTTGCTCAGGTAGTTTGCTAGTATCTTCTATCCCCCAAGATGTTAGTTATGTTTACTAAGATGCAAGTATAATTGGATAAAACAGATGTTTGAATTTCTTTCATATTGGACATCCAGATTATGATTTTTAGTAATTCCTATTTTTAAGTCTATGCGCTGCAACACAAACAATTAAAAAGAATGTGCTGCTGGTAGTCATATTTAAATCCACCAGAAGACAAACAAATCATAATATTTACTTCAATGATATACAAAAAAAATGTGCGCCCAAAATTATTCAGATTTTTTTTAAGTTCCTGGGAAGTCAAATAAATAATTTATCCTGGACTGCAGAACATTACATCTCTGATAAAATGAGCTCAACAGAGTCTTCACTTCCTGCAATCAATCAAGAAGATTCACCTGCCAACCAACACCCTCAGCACATACTGTCGATGCCCCATAGGGAGCATATTGACCAGTAGATTTCTGTATGGTTTGTCAGCTGCACATTTGCAGACTGGAAGGCTCCTGAGAGAGTGGTGAGGACAGAAGAGGAAATTACAGAGACTGCATGTTGCACATGCAACATGCAACTGCTTGTTGCATGTGGTTAAAAGTGTCAGAAATTGTACACATCTACTTCAGGTTCAGTTCTTGGTGCTGCAGCATGAAATGCAGAGTAGCCAGCATATGCAACATCTCCATATCTCAAACCATGAGACTTCCATACTGTAAAAGTGTATAGTTTTGTTGTCAGGATGTCGACAACTAAGGGTAATAATTTCTGTGTAATAATTAAATGCAACAATCCAGTTGCATTCTGCAATGCCTGCTGTATTGCCATTGTATGTACACCATTACTTTTCTCTCTGCTATCCTCTGTTCAGTTTAGTTTTTATATATTTTAAGTGTCATGCTTTAATGGAAGTTTGTTCATGTGTGCACTTGTAGTGAATATTCTGAATGACAGTAAAATATCTAGAATCTGATGAAACCTAGAACTTTCAACTGTCTGCTTGGAAGAAACAACGTCTTTTTAATTAAATGATAAACTAAACTACCATCCTTTCTCTCTGTAGCTGTGTAACCTGACAGGTTGTCCTTAAACATGTGATCAAACTGTCACAGGCTTAAAAAGAGCTGCTGGCTTCTAACCTCTCATGCCCTTCTTCCACCCCTCCGCCTCTTCAGCCCTGTCTTTACACTCACTGTGGTCCGTTCTCCAGCGGGGTGCCGTCACTCCACTGCCAGGTCCCGTCCACAGCGCTGCTTCTCAGACCGAGCCAGTATGAGTCTCCCTGGCTCCGGCTCTGGGCCATTTTAAATAGAAACTCCTGAGAATAAAGTTGATAACATCAGGGTCAAATTAATTTTCTTCAGTAGTTCTGCTTTAACTTGACTTTTGATAATAAATTCTGGATGTAATCTGTGTTACATGAGCTGTAAATTTAATGAAAGACTAAACCTCCAATGACCTTAAGCTGCCTCCGCTCCTTTTAGTCGTTGTAAAGCTATTCTTAACCAAACTCACTGCTGCTGCTATGCATGTATATGTGCATGGCTATATATGCACAGGTTGAACCTGTGCATATATAAACTCTAGAACATCTTATTGCACAGAAACCCCAAATATGTGCAGAAGATGCATAAAATGCCAACAGAGCTCCAATAACCCACTTATAAAAATACATGAAAAGATGTTTAAGCGGTGAAACCCGAGATGGTTTCCATTGAATTTTTGACTGAATGCAACTAAATCTTTTTTTTTTTTAAGAGAGAGAGAGAGGCAGAGAGAGAGAGAGAGATATGTCTGATCACCTGCTCCTCCTCTGTCTTGATTGTAGCCACAGCGCCTCCCAGTGACATGCAGAGGTACTGACTACTGATCCAGTCAGCTCTATCCTCACTAAAGTAGAAACATTTCTCTCCTTGAAGTGTCCAGTCAGTCAAACATGGTCTGCACTTTCTCTCTGTTTGAAATGTTAAAATCCCAGAGAGGAAAAAAGCATTAGAAATTGTCATAAGCTGCTTTAAACCCTTTTTGTCAGAAGTTTTCCATGGATTTCTAATACTGCCGTTGTGAAATCATCTCATTTTGACCCCTGCTCCATCTAGAATGTCCTTTAAATTCACCTTTTCAAAACATAGCATTGCAATATTTTATCTTTGACATAATTATTGACTACTTATGCTTATATTTGGCATTTTATATTAAATATTAAATATTTATATTAAAAGTTCACATCAAAGTTAGGTAGACACACGCCTTTCAGTTCCTCACTGAAATTTTCTTTTTAAATTAACTCTTCAAAATGTGAAAAAATGTGAAATACCTGAACATTTTTCATGAAAATCAAAACAGAGCTTGAAGAATTTACAAGGACATCTAAGAAAACACATTTTGTTCAACTTTATTAGTTCTGTTAATTTAGCCTAAGGCAGTCTGTCAGGCCCTTGCTGGTATGTGTTGCCTTCTAGCCAAATGAAAAAGTCCATTTTTAATTCTGAACTTCAGCTTAAAATCACATCTCCAACAGTTTTTTTTTTTTTTTTTTTTTTTTAACAAAGTGAATTTTTAAGAATTTTGAAGCTTGAACACAAACTCACCACCAGTGGAAGAGTTGTTGATGGGACAGTACTGGTTCAGAGCAGGATACTGGGCGAACAGGAGGTGATGGGACTGGTTCAGCTTCTCCAGCCTGTTTGTCAGTTCTTGCAGTTTATTTTCTTGCAGAGATGACTGAGACTGAGAAGTCAACATAATCTGAACCACTGTGGGATCACACACATTTTTTTCATTTTTTCTTTATTCAGCGAGTTTTTTGAATTTACATTGTTGTTAGTAGATTGTTAGAAGGAATACATATATGTGATAAAAAATTACATTTCTTTTAATGTTTCATCACAACATGTCCTTCTGTTCTCAATTTTATATTGCAGTGCTCTGTTAACTGTTTCTTGCACATTTTATCAACATCTGTTTAACTTAAAATTTCAGTACCTTGAATGTCATCTGAAACTTTTATTTATAAAACAGTTTGAGAACAATGGATCCCTGTTTCTACTTTACACTAATATGTAGAATCCTGACAAAATAATTTACTGTATAACCCCAGGGGTCTTTGACTAACAGAAAACTGATGTAAATAAAATGGCGTAGCTGTCACACTCAGCTAAACATTAGAATAGTCTCTCAAAATGCTTTGCAACAACATCAGTTGAACACGAAATTAGGATTTGTCTTCTAGAGTAATGTTTTCATTAAGATTGTACTCCAGAGGGGTTTTAGAGACTTACACTGATGATCACATATGCTCTTCTGTTTGCATTTCTATATTATAGTCACTGTTGCAGATGTAAGACGGCATACTCACAGCAGAGAGTCTGCAGCAGAGTCACGATGGTGAGCAGGAAGCAGAGCAGAGATAAGTAATGAGCCAACTGTCTGTGGTCACTGAATGAAGCTAAAAGACAAAAGCCCAAACAAAAGTATGAGCTAATTCCCCACCATCAGCTCAGCAGTGCAGATACATATATTTTTAACCTACACTCAAGCTATATTGATAGTTTTGACTTGAATTTTGAGAAGTATTGGAGTGAAATGCATTCATATGGAACAAGATACAGACTACAATAAGAACATGTGTTACTGTCTCTCTAAGAAATATCAACATAGACCTTCTCATTTTGACTTTGAAAAGAAAATCATTTTAAAATGTGTACTAAAATGAACCTATCAGCATGGCCGCACACTAATGTTTTCCTTTCATATAATTTACTAAAAAAACCCCACAGCTTTCATTGTTACCTAAAAACAGCCCTTAACTTCAAAGCAGAAGAAGCTCAGAAATGAAATTATTAGAAAAAATAACTAAATGAACAATGAGTTCACAGTGAGGTTTTAAAACCCACTTGACATAGTTAATACATTTTGATGCAAAATAACTGATTTTTCAAGTACGGGAAGAATCCACTTGAACACTTGATCTTTTCTGAATGTGAAAAGTCATTAGTGTTTTGGGAAAAACAAAAACTATAAAAAGGCTTTCATGCAATCACACCATTTAAAGAAAGAAAAAAAACTGAATTACCTTTTTCTTGGGCGGCTTTAGTTGTTTCTCCTTCCAGCAGAGTTAATCCATTGCTTACTCCCATTATGATCTCGTCATATGCAAGTTAGATTTCACTCTTTTGCTCCATTAAAACATAACTTTTCTATTTAAGCTAGCTTTCCAAAGCTTGTTAACCACTGAAAAGCTCAAAAGCTCCTACAACCAACAAGCACAAAAGAGAGGATCAAGAGTCTGACTCAGTGTCACGTATGAATACCAAATTAATGGCTCTCCAACTGTCTGTAAAGTAAAAGTGAATGTGATAGTCAAATAACTCTGACAGGACCCAAGCCACCATCTTCCCCTTCTTTCAGAGAATATCTAGGAATGTGCAACCTCTAGTGGCTGCAATAGGAATTAAAAATGTATATTCTTTAACAATGCTAAGAAAGTTTTAGTTAAAATATTTAGTTTTATTTATTAACATTTTTTTCGTGTGTCTCCACAATACCCCTTAAACTGGCAACAAACATGGCCTTTAAAGAAACATAGATCTAACACTGAACAAGATGTTAGTGCTGCCCTTGATTTTCTGAGATTTTATTGCCTAAATGTTTCAATAACCTGTATGCATTAACTAACTTGCGGGCTGAAATGCTCTTACTGATGCTCATCCTGGAGTTGCTGCATCAAACCAGGGTGCACAGTGGAGTTGTTGTTTGCACTGTTGCCTCACAGCAAGACCATGTTGACCTTGAATGTTTTCCTTCTGCATTTGTGTTTTCCTGGGTACTCCAGCTTCCTTCCACCATCCAAAACACTGATTAAGTTAAGATGGTTTCCCTAAATTTCACCTATATGTCTGTGTGTTGCCCTCTGGTTAGCTTGTGACCTGTACAGGGTGAAAAATGTCAGTTTATCATTGATCATTTGCTCCAGTCCCCCTTAAACCACATGAGACCAAGCACAGAAACTTAATAAAAGGATAGATGCATCCAGGTATTAAATCCCATTTATTTGTAGTTTTAAACTCCAATCCATTTTGGGTGAGAAGCTGAGATGCTTTGTGGAAAGTGTTTTATTTCTTTTCAAGATTAAACTTGTCATTTTCCTCTAGAATTGATGCAAGGTATATTTTTAAGTTCTTGTGGTGGCTGAGCAATATTTTAAACAACAGCTCATTTCACCACATACTTTGAATTTAAAATGTATACACCTTTTTTTGTTTTCTGTTTTTGAACTTGGCCTTCAATATGATGAGGGCACTGTCTACGTAATAGGAAAATTACTCATTTTACATCATCTTAGACTTAGACCCATTGATGCAACCCATGATATAACCAAAATGTTTAGTTTTGTTTGTATCAATTTTTGACCATAACACCTGAGTGCCACTGCTGAAATCAAAGCTCATTAGACTAGGTATTCATTTCTTCCAATCTTTTACTGGTGAGCCTTTGCAAATTATAGCTTCACTGACCTGTTCTTAGGTGCATATGAGCATTATTGTTGGTTTTAATAGTTTAATATGGTAAAGCCAGCTAAAGCAGACAGTGTCTCTGACTAGCAGTCAACTTCAATCATCCCACAATTTTATTTAGCAAGCAAATTATCACAGATAGAAACTTTGCAGAAGCTCACTTCAGTCTGGACTAACTCTTCAAACACCAAATAACTTTTGACTTTTCGTACTTTTGTAAAAGAGGCTAACATCACTAAGACTCATGAACTGCCTGGGTACACTATGTCCTCTACAGGACGATACAGAAATGTTATTTTAAATTGTTTTATTCAAAATTGGTGTATATTTACAAACATTTTCCAGATTTATTATTCATAATCTTCCTCCTTCAAGTTTTACAAATCTGTATGTATTTTTGGCTCACACTTGAGGGAGGGACTGTTTTGAACTATAACACGTTATAGACAAACACAGGAATGAACAAAACAAATGCTATCAAAATGCTGGAATATACAGCAAAGGCGAAAATAAGCAGATCTTGTGTTAATGATGATGATGCTACCATTGTTCTACATATTGAGTTAAGAGCTTGCAAACATTTCTCTGCAGTACATATATGTAGTCTAAGTGACGAAAACAAAGAAAAAAGTTTGAAAGAGGTGTAACACACATTTGGCCCACTATTTATCACAGAAAAAACAGGAACAACATTTCAAAGTGCTTCATACTTTGGCATACAAAAAAGATTTAGCAGATGTTTAAAACTAAAATGTTTTTTAAAATGCTGTAGTTAATATCCCTTTTTAACACAGAGACCGGTCAAAGCAATAAAGCCTGACTTAAAGCCGAACTTAGACTGATTTCAACAATTTGTTACAGAAGATATGCTCCAAAAACAAAATGAGGTAAGTAAAGATTAGGAAAGTGCTATGTTTTTTTTTTATTTATTTATTTTACTTATTTACAATGTAACAAATACAGTCATAAAGTATTTTAATCAATGGAAAGAGACAATCTATTATTATGTACATGTAGAAAAAGGGGAAAAAAAAGAACTGAAGGTACAAGCTGCTACCATGGGATCAGCAATACTCTTTCACTTCTTCAGCTCTTCTGAGCATGTGCAACTGCAAATGTGTTGGCATGTCTGCCGTTGCCTTAAGGTTTGAGCTGGTTGGAAATAGGCAGGATCAGGTCAGATGTTCACAGGTAAATCCTAACATAAGCCGCCAGTTGATGAGGAGACGTTGGCTTCACAGCGCTGACACGTTGCAGGCCGGTTTACCTGCTTTGATGCTGTTGGGTGGCTTGAAGCCATAGCATGTCACACCTGACATCGAACCATCTCACTGTTATGCAACAACCCTTCGACAGCGGTCAATTGAAAAGCATTTTGAGTTCTGTGTTGTCAACATGCATAATTTGGTGCAACACATAACCCATCCATTTTATTTTTTTTCAATTGTATTTGTTTTTCTTCCAAAAACCTGCGTTATTTTCAATATGAAATACTAATATAATGTATACAAGTTAACATTATCGAGTAATGCTATAAAAACGCCAGGTTTGACCTGCAAAAGAAACACATCCTGTGACAACATCAGTCCTGCTGAGGAGCTGATGAGGCTTTTACTCCTGTCCCTTTTACTCTCTTTTTCACCCTTTTTTACTGTTTGTGATGATTGCAGCAAGCTCGTCAATAGCATCCAGCAACTTCTGTCGCTGTTCTGCTGAAAGGAAATCCAATTATGTGTGTTGAATCTATCAGAGCAGCCGCAGTCGTGACCATACAGGCAGTAAATCCAGAGCGCTGCGCTCTTGGGAGCTTTCAAAGCAGTTCTGCTGAGAACATGGAAGTGAGCGCGTAGGTGGAGACGACAGGAAGATTATATTTCTCCACTCCCCATCCATTTTTGACACATGCATTTAATCGTATAATCCTACTGCTTTGCCTGTGAGAATTCAATGTTTCTCTTTAGTGACAAGGCTCAAAAGGAAGCTCAGTCAGCCCTCCATGAAGTTCCAATTGCTCTTCAGACCACGACAGGACGTCACCAACGAGGTGGCTTCCACATGTTGCTTGGGTGTGAATCTCATTGGCTGTCAAGACTCTGGACCAGAACTGGAGATCTGACAACTCTCCCAAGAAAGACTGAGTGATGTCAAAGCGACCTCCCATTGTGTCCTGTGGTGTGGAGGAGAAGGCACATAAATAAATAAAACTCCAAAGAGGAGGTACAGATTAACAAGTTCAATAATACTTATAGCAAACGTCTCACCTGCTCCTGACCCAACATAAAGATCCCTCCTGGTTTTATGGGATTCCAGGCTGACAGGTTCTGTCCGGAACCTTTCTTCACTCCATCCTGGTAAGCCTCCCAAACGCCGTCACGTGTTGACCATGTCACGCACACATGATGCCACTTTCCATCTGTCAAACTTATTGGTACTGTCACCGCCTATAAACCAGGAAAGAAGGAAAGGGTAGAAAAAAATACACAAAAATCTGTTATTTAAACTAAAACTGAAGACTTTTAAAGTGCCGTCTTCACAAACGCCTGCTACGTCCTGTCAATAACTCTGACCCAAACGGTTTATCAGTTTCATTCATTTTTACTAGTGTGGTGGATATCTTGAAATGCAACATGATAAAATAAATGAATAAAATAGGTCAATTTGTGGACACCATGTCCAACATCCCTACATCTGTTGGACATGGTGAACTGTTTTTGAGAAATTATTTTATTACGTTGATATTCCACTAGGCTCAAGCTGGTCACAAATATCAAGTTATGCCACATTTTTAAAGCTGTAGTTTCAAAGCAGATTAAAATTTTCACCCCATTCCTGTGATTTAAAGCCAGGGCAGAGGAATTGCCGGACTAACTAGAGTTTTTTTCTAGCTGTATGTAGCAGCAAGTTATAAAATAATGCCTCCTGACCCCCACACCTATAACTACCCAAATAAAGCTTGTTCACTTATTTTCCCTTGCCAATAAAAAACAGAAATTTGGTTATTTGGATTTTTCTTTTCTCTTAAGAAAACCATAGATCACCAGAGTGCCACCTATCTCTTTTAGCAGCAATAGGGGGAAAATAAACTTTTCTGTTTAGAACTAGCAATAAATATTTACAATAGCGTTTTAAATTTCTGCATAAATACCACAATACGAAGATAAAACAGATCAGCAAGCGATGGACCTCAACATGTGTTGCTGTGCACTGACGATAAACTAAATGAAAAAGGGTATCACACACACAGTATGTGCATAAAGAAAGAAGTTTTCAAGTGTTTGAAAATATATATCTGGAAGTAAAATTGTCAAAATTAAAGATGCACTACTCATTAGTCTTTTAATTTTAATTTTGTTTTATTAGTCCCTTTAGAAAGCTATGAGCAGCATTTGTAATGAAGCCAAGAGCAGCCTGGGTATTTAAACAGATACCCTGATTAATTAACCCGTCAGTGTCAGCTTACTGTACTCTCAGCAATATCCTATAAAGAGCAGACTGGCAAAAATGGTTAATATTCTGAACAATAAGCCTTTCATGTGAACAGTGAAGAAGATCACCTCAACTCGACAAATTATTTTAAACCTTGCTAACTGAATTCATGGTCTTAAGTGGGTCATTAATAGTTTTGGTCATGACTGTGCATGTGACTCACAGACAGCAAACATGATAGTTTTATCTTCCTGGTCTCTCCGACAGACAATTAGGTCAGTCAGTACAAGACTATAACAGGATTAATTGCTTTGCTTATTTGTTTGTTGTGATCACCCAGTACTGGGGCAGGGAAGGGACATAGTCAACCATCTATTTTCCATTCAAAAGGAAAAAACGTAAAGGATTTTCAGAGA